AATTATAATCTTTTTTATTTATCTAGGATACAATTGCTGGCATATTTCTCTAAATGTGGATGACAGGCCTTTCTATGAAACCAGTATTTTATAGGAATTTCTTTCAAATCATGGAATAACTGTCAAAAGCAGTAAAAAAAAAAAACAACCACAAACCACAAAACCACATTTGTCAGCAACAGCCTAAAGAACCTTTGTTTTAACAGAGAGAACAAAGAGAGTCAGAGATATAAATTTATTTCAAACAAATGTTTTTTTGCATTTCTCCTTTGTTATATTAAAGTAAATTAATGTTTTTAACTGATTTTAATCTTAAAACCACAGTAGTCTGTTAAAACGTTAAGTAAACTGCTGAAAGTATAGGTGGTCATATAAAATTTATGTTACAAATTTACCAACAACGTAAGAGTACCTCACTGCTGTGGGCTTACACACAAAAAAAAACCAACAGACAGGTAGACCTATGGATTAATTAATTAGCATGTGGGTAACACCACCTTGGCAGATCCTGACATTTCATGGTAGACTACCCTGTGCATAAGAAAAAGGTGGTTTTGTTTTTCAAAGACAATTACTGTGAATCGTGATTTCTGTCGTCTTAAACATCTTCTTCAGAGCCCACTAACAGCCCAGCTCTCCAGCTGTTACTTTGAATAAGCCCACTGAGAGCAGAAAAGGGACTGAGAACTGGACCAGAGAGTTAAAGTTCTTACGCTGCTTGAATTGTGATGACTTGTGCCTTGAGCAGGCCAGGAGCATCCACCAGATGCGATCATGAAATACGTACAGCCTTAGTCACTCTCCTTGCACGTGGGTGAGTGTGTGTTTGGACAAACAAGGTTTGATCATTGTAAGAATTCAGGAAAAGACAACATTAACATCCAGCTCCATATCCTAACCAATTCTGAAAAAACTGCAATTAACTTTTTTTCTTTCTTGAAGAGTCCGTGTGATATTTAGGCCTATTATTAAGCAACACACCATAAAAATCCTTCATCGCTTGCCAAAGGTAGGAAAATTTCCACTGCATCACTGCCAGGTATTGGTCCAACGAAACAAGACAGATCAGAACCACAGGTTCCGAGGAGCCTGGTGCATGTTCTCACAGATGGTGTTATACCTTTCCATGAAGCAGGAGGTACATTTAATTTAATTTAAGACAAATCTAAAAATATTTTTGTCAGCCACACAAATTACACATCCTAGAACCAGGGGACATTTTAAAAAAACTCATTTATTTCACAAAGTGAGGACCTCAGATCTCATACCTGTTCAGATCCACAAAATTAATACCATAAATAACGCTTAGGTGATAATGACATTACTGCTCTTTCCAAAGGGTTTTACAAAACCTGTAAGAGCAACTATATTTTAACACTGGAATATCAACTGTTATTATTAATAGGTTTTAACTCATTAAAATTGTTTTCCTCACTGGACACCTGCCATACAGAAATTACATTTCCTTTGCTGTTTTTATTAAACTTTGGATAAACAAAAATATATACATTTTTTCCTTAATGAGATCTTAGCCACTTTTTACAGGGACTCTGAATCAAAACAAACATTTAACTTGTCTTCTTGAGCAATTTCATTTGCTTTTGTTCCCTGCTGTGCTGGAAACATACTTTGTGCTTGCTCTCAATCAGATATCCCAACAGTTTATCAGGTAGCACAGCATAATACAAATATTATAGTTACAGATTAGCTGTTCCCTGCTGCCATTCACTTCGTGGTTTAGATCCCTTGTCATTTACAAATCAAAATGTTTATGCGCTCAATTACAACACTTCCAAGTGAGAATAAAGGGTATTCCATTACTCCCAAGACGACTACGGAAACATTTGTGTGTAAAGTACTGTGATACTCTCAATTCCATCAGTTTTCTATTTCTCCGTGTCTCACTGCAGCGGAATATCTCACAGTGATCTAACATTTATAAAAGCGTTAATGCATGCACACTAGGTCAGAGCTCTGTAATCCACAGAGGGTCTTTGTCCAAGTTAAAAAATTGCTAAAAGATTGCTGAAAAGGGTCCCCGGAATTTTTGGCACCCACAGCCATCAACACAGCAGACTGCCTCCTTTTGCTTAGCCAAAGAGCCTTGGTCAAATGCCACAGACAACATCCTGCTACTAGCTCTGCCCAAAGATGCACGTTCCACCTGGGTGAAGGATCAAGAAAAACAGCAGAACACATTCCAGAGGAAAACCAGTACAAACAATGTGAGTACAGCGCTGAACTTTATCACAGTACAGGCAAAGAACAGGTTATTACCATTATAAACACACATGCACATGTGTTGGGAAAGGGAATTAGATGTTTTCCCCACAGTGGCCAGAACATGAGCCATAATATCCACCTGTCTATATTATTATATAGCCATAATATCCACCTGTCTATATAAAGACACAGCCTACCGGGCTGAGGAGAGCGCGCTCAGCAGATTACCCCTAATGTACTGGCGTCAGCTCCTGCTGACATTCCCAACGCCGCCAACCTCGGGTGTCTAAAAAGTGCTGTGTCTGCTCCTGGTCCCATGCACATTCTTGGGTGATGGAACAAGGGCACATTCTGGATTTTCATCAGCTAAAAGAGAGTAATTAATCTTAATTCTCTTCTTCTCCCTGAAAAATAGAACTTCTATAGCTCGAGGAAAACAAAGAGCTATCAGTTGTTCTGTGGCAAATTAATCTTAAAGGGGGAATCTTCCCAAGAAAATCAATAGCTTATAACAAGATTCTGTATCGTGTTTGAGCCCTGAAACTCAAACTAAAATCAAAGGGTACTTTCAGCATTGCAAGTTTGCTCTTGTTGTGCTTTGTTTTTAATACAATGTCATCATTTGAAAAAGTGATATTTTTCACATATGAGCAATTTTAGTTATGTGTGGCTTCACCTTCATGGAAGACTCTAGTAATATTTAATACAGACTGTAAGATTACAGGTATTTCAGGCAACTTTAAAGAAATTATTCTCAAAAGAAGGAATTTAATAGGGAATAATATTTTTTATCCTGTATGTAATATTCTATATCTAAGACATCTTTATTCATTTGTACCTTTCTAAATTAGTCTGTTCCATATGAGAAACTTTGAAAATTATGTCTCCTTACATGGTCAATGTTTTTTTTAAAAAAGAGAAACCTAATGAATTTAACCATGGTGTCATGGAAACAGCTTTAAAATTCATTTGGCTGCAGGGAGGAAGGATACAACTCAACACAGAGAAAGTGACAGGTTTCAGAAGAAAAAAAAAAAAAAATCTGTCTTCATTCAGCACTGGGATCTTTGAGAAACAATAATTCACAGCAAGGCAAGGGGAGCTTTTCACACTCTAGTTAAGCAAGGTTTCTCAAGCACACTCTCCAAAACAGTTCATTACCAAACTGAGATTTGATAAGCAGAGGCGGAATGGGGCAGAGGCATACAAACCTGCAGGAATGGGAAACTTGAAATGAAAACCACTTGAAAGCACTGGTAAACAATGCCAAAGTTCTCAGACAAGTACTTTTATTGTAAAGACAGTGCAATACGGGGTGGAGAGATCATTTATAGATCAACAAAGGAAATAACTATTCTAATTTCTAATCAGTTCAAGTCTGTTCACTCATTCCCACAAATACCTATTGACTGCCTGCAGTCTGGGTGTGAGTTCTGCACAGACTGAATTGTCTCTCCGACATTGAGAGAGGTCGCCAACAGAGCCGGGACACCAGTATGTGCTGAGGCCCATATCACCCCTTGCAACGTGATGTGCTATGCAAGACTAGAACTGCAGTGGTCAGTAGGCTCGGTGCGGTGAGTCTGGGACAAATACCATATACGTGGTCATATATACTTCAGGACTTTTATTTCCGTCAGTCCCATCAGTAAAAATGAGAGTTTGACATTGACTCAGGGCTTCCATGGGTGGAAGGAGAATTTGGTCCTCGCTTTTACCCATTCCTGCACTAGACATTTTGGTTTATTACATGAACTAAATTAATCTGATTCATTGTTATTCTGGGACTTTGTACAGAAGGAATTCTAGTCTAAAGCAGATTTAATCACTTATTTCCTTGATAATTCACTAGTCTGGCTGCCAGAGTGAATAGTTGTACATAAAAAGAAAAATATGTTACTAAGCCTAAGAATTTCAGTGAGTGCAGTCTCCAGAACCATGATGTTATCAAAGTTCAGTAGTACCACAAAGTGATGACTAATGAGCCTGTAACCCCTATGTGCTGTAAATTCTCTCATTAATTCTTTACAAGACCTTTAGGAAACCTACTGCATTCATCCTGCTTCCTAGCTGTCAGAATTTAGTAGATGACTTCATTGGCTACTTTGACATTTTTACTTTTTCGTTCCAGTTTGGTTTGTTTGCTTGCCTTAAAAAATGCCTACTGTGTGAATTGTAAAAAGGTCAGCCAATAGTTCCCGATCCAGACAGGACAAAAGTAACTGAAATGAACACATTCTAGCAGTAATTTTGTCCCTTACCTTATTTTTTTGGTCTGTGATCTGTTAGCTGTAAATAGTAAAGCTATATGCCAAAGATCTTCTAATCTTACTAATGCAAACATTCTCTTTCCTTTCAGAATTTCCACTACCCCTTTTTACATCAATGTCCAAGCACTAAAAGCATCGCTAAGGGATTTGAGTGGTGGTGGGAGGACAATACTTGGTGGATTTTTATATTAGGAAAGCTCGTAAGATCTGATTCTGAGTAATTTACATATAAGAAGAATATATTTTGCAATCAGGGCAGAGCGTATGTGTCCTGGTTTTGGCTGGGACAGAGTTAACTTTCTTCCTAGTAGCTGGTATAGTGCTGTGTTTTGGATTTAGGATGAGAATAATGTTGATAACACACTGATGTTTTAGTTGTTGCTAAGCAGTGCTTACACTAAGTCACGGACTTTGCAGCTTTCCCTGCTCTGCCCGGTGCACAAGGAGCTGGGAGGGGGCACAGCCAGGACAGCGACCCAGACTGGCCACAGGGCTGGTCCATACCGTATGGCGTCACGCCCAGTGTATAAACTGGGGGAGCTGGCCGGGGGCCAGGGACTGCCACTCGGGAACTGGCTGGGCATCGGTCAGTGGGTGGCAAGCAATTGCATTGCGTACCACTTATTCTTGTTATTCTTTTATCATTATTATTATTGTCTTCCCTTCCTTTTCTGTCCTATTAAACTGTCTTTATCTCAATCCATGAGTTTTACTTTTTTTCCCCCGCTTCTCCCCCATCCCACTGGGCGGGGGGGAGGCGAGCCAACGGCTGTGTGGTGTTTAGCTGCCTGCCGGGTTAAACCACACCAGTAGGAAGTGAACTGTCTGAACACTCCCAGAGTTTGGACACATCATTTATTTCTCAGCTTATGATAGACTGAGATAATAATGGTGTAGGTCACACATAAATTGGGATGCTGGTATAATTCAGATCACTACTAGTACGCACGTTGGTGGACATAGGTATTTGGATGGCAAAGCAAGGCTTTGTAACTTGATTGTGCGCTGCAGATTGTACAGGGAGGTCATTCTTGCAGAGAAATCCTTGCAATTGTGTTTCACTACTGAAGCACTGGACATTGCATTCATCCAAAAGACAAAGTCATCAATGCGGGCACTAAACCCCATTCCAGTGTTTTTTGGGATGTTTTTGGTTTTTTTCTCCTGGTTATAAACATGGAAAGCACACTATGATGACATTTCTTTACTGGCAGTATTAGCCTTTTGCCATTTGTACAGTTAAAAAGACTACCAGACATAGATCAAGTTAATACTGATCTTGTTCACAGTATGTAAGTCCAGAAATTTCAGTGGACAGCCTTTAGATTTATGCCAGCGCATGGAAGACACGCCTCATGTTTAAACACAAACATCAGGCTGCTGCAATTCTGAAAATGCCAGAACAATGACCTTACTTTTCTAATTGACATCTGAAAACTAAGAAAGGTATCTTTAGGCTAAATAAAGCTAACTAGCCTTTCAAATTCTTAGAAGTACTTAACTGCCTCACGAGTTCACTAAAGTTGTTCATCTTTAAAAAAAAAAAAAAAAAGTGAGGCTACAAATTGCAATATAAATGGTAACAGTGCCCAGTGATCCCAGAGAAATCCAATACCGTTGTTCTGGGTAAGACATTTACATATGCAGGGAGAGAGATGAACTGTGCCTTCATAATTTAAAAGTTCCAGCAAATCATAAAACTAAAAAGCAGAAGGAAAGCTGTAGGAGCTAAGGAGAACCTGGTTAACAATAATACAGTAAGTGCCTAACTGTAGGAGCTTTTGTAACAGAGTTTGTAAAATCTGGGGCCAATGAATATTAGTATTTTGAATTCTGCGAGTGCTGGTTTAAACAGTTCCAAACCCGTATCCCATATGTTTCTTCAAATATTTCAACCCCTGACTCCTCTGTGTTTGGCTTGAGGCTGAAAAGTACAGATTACTTGGTGCCCATGGCAAGTGCTGTTGCAACAGGGAAATTATGTCAACCCCTGCAGTGCAATTCATAACTTGATGTGGGTAAATTCACTTACTGGCAATTTAGAAGAAAACATGCTGGTGCTGTGCCAGTTGGAGCCAGATGGTGACTGAAATTATTAAAATCACGCGTGCCGCAAACCTCTGAAAAATTGCACTGTTACAAAATATCCTAAGCATGGATGGGATCCTAATACAAACCAATTGGTGTATAGAGAGTATTTGCAAACAGTGCATGGTATGATTTGCTACTGTTTAATCATGATCTTTCCCTTCCCTGTTTTCTAGGTTCAACTAATCCACTATAACCACGAGCTGTACACAAATGTCACAGAAGCTGCAAAGAGTCCTAATGGGTTGGTGGTAGTTTCCATATTTATGAAAGTAAGTATTCAGCATTATCAATACCTAATACATAGGCAATGGACTTCTTTTTCCATAAGCTATAAATCTAGGAATTAAGACTGCTCATTATACTATAGGCTAGAGGCTCTGGTCTGGAATCCAGAGACAGCATCGTCCCAGGAACTGAACACACAATCTCTACTCCAAAGCATTTACAATGTGATGCAAGGAAAATGAAAAGGCACAAGGGGGGGAAGGGGGGGGTGGGGTGAATCTTTATATCATAAACATTACTCCTAACACTTTACTGGCTATGACAAAAGTTACTAATTTTGCAGATTTGGTATTTCTTCATGAAACGTTATTCAATTAAAAGTAAATCTCTCCTAGTAGGTTGAGGCCCTGGGAAAGAGGGCATGTTTGCTCTTTGGAGACATGCTGGTATTTCAAAGTCAGCAAAATAAGTTTTTCTCACAATGTTATTTAAAACATCTTAAACTACTCAAAACTTAAAGAACGTTAAAAGGGTAACTCTTAATATCTTCCATTTCACAGAGCTAGACAGACATGTGAACATTTTGTCATATTTTAGTCTCCATCCTGTTGCATTCAAGATGCACAGTTAAGTCTATAAATTACAGTGATCTAGCGTTGAACTCAAGACTCAAACCTCCCTAATTGCATTAGAGAAACCTTTTCTCTCATTTTATATGAAGCATGCATTACCCCCTAAAACATTGTTCATATTCAGCCATTATGTATCTCTTTTTCATCAATCTAAAAAAGTATATATTTCTGAATAAGTGCTTTATGCTGAAACAAATGGCTTTCATCATCAGACCTTACATATTGGATATCTATTCATTCCCTTTACTACTCTCTAATCCCATTTCATAACGTAAAGTTCCCAACAAAGCATTTATCTCAGAATTAAAATATGCATTTCACAGAGCATATTGAATAATTAGATATGAAAATTGCCCTTTTATACAGGTCTAATATTTAAGATGTTTACATTACCTTTTTTCATCCAAAGTGTATTGTATTACGACCCAACGATCTGACTTGAATTCACGCAAAAGCATAGAATTGAAGCAAGCCTTCAAAATGCCCAGCATGCCAATTTCGTCTAAATAATGCACCACTCAGGTACTTGCCGAGTTGCGCACCTCTTGTAATGAGCAACAAAATCCAGTATCTACCTCACCATATTTTTCTCTAGGCCTCTCTCACTGGCATGAAAAGATGTGTTCTACTTTAAGTGTCCAAAGTAGTTATAAAAACTTCTAAGTGGAGAAGAAACTATCTGAATTTCCACAAAATGGAACCTGAACTGAATTTTCCTGGAGGCTACGTGTCAAACAGAGCTGGATTCCAGTTTGTCCAATAGCCCATTTATTTTCCTAAATCTTAATTAAACTTTTTGTGAAGTTTTCAATTTTCAAAATAAATGGATTTCATTCTGGATAAATGCTAGATGTATAACAGCAGCATCCAGTGTCTGATAAAAAAAAAACAAAAACAAAAACAAAAAAACACACATCACAAAATAATTGAAAGATAAGTAGGATATTAGAAGGCTAGCTACAGGGTTACTAAAATGTCTCCATAAAAAAAAGCTACACTGATTTTGTTGCTAACCAATAATCATTTTGCCATTTACAGTACATTAAAATCTCTTGCTAAATTATCACTGATAATCAACAATAATATTGTTGATAAAGTACATACAACTCACACATAAACCGCCCCCCACACCCAAAAAAACCCTAACACAACAACAATGCCTCTAAGCCCTCTATCATTTTTCCTCTAAATCCTCCTCAGGTATCCTTATGTTAATGTAGACTGAACATTTTATGTGTACGTATACGTATTTGTGAGCACAGGTGGGTGACATTTAGGCATTTCATACCTGTATGTAAAAGAAAGGGAAGACAGATTTTATTTGCAGTCTAAATAGTCTGCTGCAAGGAAAGTGTATTTCTCAATAAATAGAAAAATAATAGAATACTAGATGAAAATCCCACCTAATTATATTAACCACCTGTAAATCCCATCAAAGGTGTTGGAGAAGAAACCTGCACTCACACTTGTATTCAGGCATTAATTTTTATTCATCCTGTTCTCCCATACCTGTTTTTGGGGGGTTTATTTTTAGATACCAACTTTCTAACAAGTTCTGTTAGAAAAATATTTAAGTAATTATTTCCTCTTCCCACAACAGTGAAAAAAAGGCAGGAACAATTTGGAGGAGCAGCAGGAGAGAGAGAGAAGGAGCGTGCGTGTGCATGTGCGTGCACACAGAGTGCAGCTGCATTTCCAGACAGAAAACGCTTGTGAGAAGACTCTGACATTGTGCATTTTCTCTTCTGTAGGTATCTGAATCATCAAATCCATTTCTAAATCGTATGCTTAACAGAGACACCATAACGAGAATAACGTATAAAAGTAAGTTTCTTTTCATTTACTGTGGCTAACAGCTGTATGCTTTTAGTATCAGATAACGCATTTAGCAATCCACTGAAACAAGAGGCACTTCATTATGGGCAAAAATTACAAAGTTTGCATTGCCAGCAACTCTGCATGGTAAACTTGGGAACCTGAAAAATCTAGTAAGGTCATCAGTTCATCAAATGAATTTTGAACTTCAAAGTCTATTTTATGCTTGAAAAAGCAATAAATTAATGAAATTATACTTAACAAATACATATACTGTATTCACACAGAATACTCAGGAGAAACTGCCTACTGTTAGCAATAAAAATAACATGCGGAGCAGCCTGGGTTGTATCAAATCAGGTTATGTCAAGATGCTGCATCGTTAACTGTGGATTTAGTATTCGTTAATGCTTTCTTTTTGTACAGAAAAGTTATGACATTTCTATTCAACTATTGCTGCATTTAATGGATATATAAAGAGGTCATTAACATAGCATGTACATTTGTTGTATTCACATTTGGAAAGCCTTTAACTGATAAAGCTCAATAATTCTGTGTTTGTATATTGAACTTGTGGAAAACTGGAGCTTAAATGTCAGTGAAAATTAGGCTAGTTTAGAGAAAGTAATGAAAAATACATATATCTCAGTGGAACAAATTAAACCTCTTCTCCTGAAAACCTTATTCCCTTTGTCAAATATTCACTTGAATTCCAAGCAGCTGTTACATTCATAAAATAAGTTAAACGATACCAGAATTTAACTTTCAGAAAGTACGCAGCAAGCTGAAAAAATAAGGAAAGTATTGTAAAACTCAGCCTTTGTTTGTTATTTTGTAAACAATGACTTAACATTTTTCATCAACTTCATTAATTCTGCTTTTGCTTTTGAAAGCTGGGAGAGCGCTGTTCATGATAACTGGAATGAGACTGGTTGTCAGGACTGCAGGACTTCACAATTCTACTAGGGTTTGCCTCAGTTTACCTGTCTGTAAATTAAATGTATTTTGCTACATATTCTACAACAACATAGTGTTACTTGGAAAACTTTGCATCTGAAACTCCAGGGAGCTCTTCAACAGAAGTCACTGAACTTCAGGTTTATGATGGAAAGGTTTGGAGAGGTTTCTGTACACGACCCTGAAGTACACAGTCTGATTTCTTTCCATGGACTCCATCTTTTCCCCCTCCCTGCAAAGCCAGGATTGTAAAAAGAAAAAGTGTAGACCAATGTAAAGTGAAAGCACAGAGTTTTACCCACTAATTCCTGCACAAGTGAGCACTAGAAAGATTTCGAGTCTTGCCATACAATACAGAATTTGAACAACGGGGCCAATCCAACCCCATTCTGAAGCAGACAGTTCCTTGTCCTCTCCTATAACACACACCTTTCTTCCCACTGATGTTTCTCTAATTTTACCTTATGGTTAACAAATCTTGTTACATCTTTCGTCTAAATAAGAGGCCTTTATTATGATAAAACTCAATTCTCCGTGACACATATAGAAAGGAAAGCAACAGAGGGTTCCCCTCAGACCATTTTTTCCAGATTGTTCTATCAGTATGAAATGCCATTTTCTCTGCATGGAAGAAGCAGGAGATTAGCCCAGTTTTTAAACTGCCTGTCTTGATTCCTTGCAAAAGGACAGCAATAGTCTTCTGTTAGAGCCTCCTGCCTACCAGTGCTACTGCAGCATCCTGGAGCCGGGAAATTATCGTTAAGGCTGTATGTGCTTTTTCAGGCTCTTCCACTCCCAAATTACATATTCCTGGCTTCTGTCTGGGGACCAGCCAGAAGATCTCTGACTGTACTACTGGGGAAGCTGCTTTTTCCCACGTACACGTACACAGAGACCTGTCAGGTCTCACACACTGAGTAAGAGAAGACTCCTGCCTCATTTTTCCCATCGCAGCAGCTGTATCTCATGCATTTACATGAGTGTCACGGCCTTTTTTGTACTCCTTGGCCCCACATGCTACAATGGCTGGCCAGCAGAGCAAAGACTGGACAACTTGTGGTGGCTCGGAGCAAAGGAGATGCCACGATTAGGGATATACAGCTCCACAGGGCGCAAAGGCACCGGCAGCATCTTTCCCTTGTTGCGCAAGTGAGCGTGCAACCGTTGCCCACACCAGCAGGCAAGCATACTTTCCTAATACAAAATATTTCATTTGTATACTGCACTTAGAAGTGGGCACTCCTCCTCTCTGGAGTTGACAGCATTCTACAACCTTTCGTTGGTTGTTTTGACCCTTTAGAAGGAAAATGCAATTCTAATCACACCTAATTTGGGTTTACTAAATGAGATTTCACATGAACACATAACATAGGCTGCAAAATCAATGATTAACGGAACTGTTTTAATTTTTAACCACTGTTACGACTAACAAGTTTATCTGTTAAAATTAAATCCTTAGTAGATACAATGCATATAATATTCTGCAGGGCATTGGTTACTTACTGTAGTAACAAGTATTGACTGGGAATTTTTTAGTGTAAATTGGGAACGTGAAAGTGTTATTGAAAGTAATTTTGCAGTTGTCTTGCGTGATGGATTATAGCATCATTGCTGAAAACTAATTTTACCTCTTACATTGCAAGGATTTCTAGTCTGCCTTTAGCAGCTGGAGTTTTTTAGCTTGTGCTTTAGGGGTCCACTCCTGAAGTCAATACTCAGCAGGCTGCTGACAAAATGACCAGTCCCAGTGTGCTCAATAGGAGCGTGGAGCGAATGATAAGTGGAGCACAGGTTCAGAGTCAGGACAGTTAGTAACATAACTAAAGTACTTTTTTTTTTTTTTTTAAAGAACATCAACAAAATTAAGAGCTATCTATGCTGCTGCATGAAATTTCCATGAGCAAAACAGATTAAAAGGGGAATTTCTACTCTTAGATATTAATGGCTATAGTCAAGTACAGTGGACCCCAAGGAATTTTAAAGTAGATTTTAAATGCTTATTTTATTCTGTTATCACAGCCCGAAGAATCTACTGTGAACTAGTTGAAATAAGTGTTCTTTCAAACAGGCTTTAGTCAGAAGCCATGTGAATATCTCTAAAGAAAAACTGCTTTAATATTCCTCTTTAAGTAGGACATTTGAGGGGATAAATTAGCTTTCTTTCAGAACAGTTATGCTATGTCAGCTTTCACCCAGTGTTTGCTTAACATTGGAAAGAAGTAACAGTTTAGATTCCCCAAATTCCATATGAAAATTTGGGCTTGTCATTCTCTATTAAATAATGCCACTTGTTCAACTAGGCAAAGGAGCTGTAAAATTCTGAATTTCGTCAAATTCAATCTTTAGCCATTTTGTAGATAATGTACAAGTGACTGAGGTATTCCGATTTTAAGATATTATCCTGAAAAAGCTTAAGATCCAGATTTCTGGAAATAAGAGACTATTAATTTCTCAAGGTTCATGTTTCAGTGCATTCTCTGAAGGACTGAGCTCTGGCAGCTCCCGTCACAAGCAGTAAAAGCTCAGCAGTCTCAAACCAGGCCCCAAGGGACTAACCTCAGGTATTCAAAATGAGTCTCTGTCAGCCTGGGTCTAAGTGACTTGCGAAGGCTGGTAAATGAAGAAACTCTGTTTCAGGATTAAAAAGCTGAGGATCTCTACATTCCTTACCCTGTAAACCTAATCTAGTTACAGTTGTACTTTCCCTTTTTGGATTATTGTGATATGAACTTCAAAATCAAATGGACCTTCCTTCATTCAGTAAATAATATATTCCCTATAAATACTATTGTTTTAAAGAGAACATACGTAGAATTTGCTGTGAAAGCAGACCCCCCCACCTGTTACAAAAGTAGGGATAAAAAAAAAAGATTTCCATCATTCGCTAAGAAAATTGTCAGAGTCAAGACTTTCATGTAAATGAATATGAAATCTAATTTGTATAGAGAAGAGTTCATGAGTTCAGAAATCACTCTAAGGCACAAGTGGATCAAGATAAACAGAATGTGGGCTATAGATAAGAACAATGCTAAGAATCTAGTAAAGGTTGTATGGGCTTATTAAAGGAAGTTTATTACTGGCAAGAGATCACACATGGTGATTTTGACCATTTTGAATTACATACTTGCAATAAATATAAGAGAAGACATTAAAGTGTTGCAGTCTAGTATTAATGCAAACCCACCAGCTCTGTTTCAGTTCCACAATGGGAAACCTTTATCAAGATGTGGGGAAAGGGAAACAGCAGAGCTGTTCATGGGAAAAATGTGGATAAGCAAATGCTTGTTCTGTAGTCTTTTCTCAGGCCATTCTCATGGCGCCATCTGACTTCCCATGGGAATATAACCCACACAGAGGCATGAATAAATACTGCTTTTACTTGGCCAAACTCTTTTATTTCATTACTTCATTCCCCCCTATATTCCCCTTTTCCTGAGGTGATATTTTCCTTGTTACCCATTAATCACAGCTGATGGATTTTGACACTTAGCATAATTTGCTGTCTCTCCTTAAACATATTCCAAGTGAAGACAGAGGCAACGAACCAGGTTCGGAGCCACTTCAGGGCTGGCTGCTGGTGGACGAGATGGCCACGCATTTTGTAGGCCCTCAGTATGCAAACAAGGTAACCTAAGCAGTTGATCCAAAGCTCAATAAGGCCAAGGAGAGCATTTCTCCTGATCTTAAGAGCATTGGCATATGTTGGGCTTGCCTGAATGAGTAGGACGACGGTGCCCCACACTGCTCCCACACTGTAACATGCCATATTCCACCCCCAAAGCGTTATGTTCTGAGAATCACGGACAAAAGTTGGAAGCCCATATCAAAATAATGAATTACATTCTCTATTAAAGCAATGTGAAGCAACTCCAAAACCCCCCTGATTACCTGCGCTAATGCCAGCAGTAAATCTGTTTCTGTACCTTCCATTTGATAAGTAGTCCTATGGTTAATAATCTGCACTGTTCTGAATACAAATTAATCACCTAGAATGTGGCACACACACAATAAATATATATCATCAATATCCCTCATCTGTATTAATCTTTAGTTAGCTTTCCATCTGCTAGGAAAACATTTCAGGGCAAATTCTACCTTTTTTAAAACATTTTAGCCCAGTCGAAGTCAATATGGATGTTACAAAGCAGCTTTGGTCCTTAGAGTTTGCAGCTCTCTATTCTGACTGACTCTGTGCCATTTGGAGCTAACACACCACTCTCCATGGTTCATAAATAATGAACAGGATGTTCATGTGGGAAAGGGAAAAATGTGGGATGACTCATTGAAAACAAGCACTGGCTTGAAAAAATGCATTCATTCTCTTCTCATGTAATTCTAGCAAAATGACCGCTGCACTGCAAATCATGTTTTTAATGAATAGGACACAGGTGTATTCAGTCATCTCTAGCTGTTAAAATTTAACAGTATTTTGAGTCTAATACTATATCAATGGTTTTGCACTTTTGTCTGGAAAATTTTGGGTTTAGAAAGGCTCTGTATCCCAGGCCATGGGTCAGTGAATGCTGAGCATGTTAAAAAAGGTGATAGACACCTACAAGACACTAACAGTACTTTTCCCTCTACTTGAGGGTCCAGCTATATGGAATGGCAATTACCCTGGCTTGAAGTGCAAGAACACGGCAGAAAGCTGTATTTCTGACAAACTTGGAAGGACATGCCAAGATTATATTTCGTAAAATAACAAACATTTAAAATATGAAATAACTGTAAGGCACTGGTCAATGTGGTATAAATGTTACAGTCTCACCTTGCCACTTTAACCGATGCTGTAGCCACTAATATCACTACCCCAGAAGCTTGTAGCTTGTTGACTGCACTACGTCAAAATTAAAAAAAGGTCACATTTGCTTTGCCTGTGTTCTTTGATTTTCTGTTTCCCAAGACAGTAGTCTGCAATCCTTTTTTTTTCCACTAGATAGTATGAGACAAGCATTTTGCTCATCTAAGTTTTGTCCTTCAGCTACAATATGTTAAATTCAAGTTAAATTACTCTTTTCTTTTTCAGTTCTTATATGCTTCCTTGATAGTTCATATTTCTTTCCTTGGTTCCATTTACAGTCTTTTCCCAATGGCCAAAGAACTGTTCATCAGCTTAAAAAAAACAAAAAAAACCACAAAAAAACACAAAGCCAAAAACTCACAGTGAATAGTACATGAAAAACATCAGAGAACCTAACAGAAACACCTAAATTGTTGACATTGACTTAAAAGATGCATTTTCAACATTTTTCTTTAGTCTGAGCAGTATTTTCTATTTTATTTGTACTATCTTCCTTGCCTTCCATTAAAATCCATGCCAGTTCATCTTGTGTATTAAAAGAGGAAACACACCTAAATATGCAGCTTTCCTTGCCCGCGTTTTAGCGCTCACTCTGCAAATGAACCATGTTGAACACACTACGGGCAAGTGAAAGCATGCAAACAGATTTCACAACATTACAGCTTGTAAGCAGCCCAGCTTTCCCTGAGATACACGATAGCAGTAGCGTATAAGTAGTAATGTGTATATCCCTGGGTATTTCCTATTAAGGAACTCCTACAGCCTAAGATTTGGCAGGAAAACCTGAGCTCCAGTTTTGACAGCACTGCCAAAAATATTGTAGGGCCAGCATTACACAAGGGAAATAGTGCACATAGCATACAAAAGGCTGACGAACTTTGATGAATTTTGAAAGATATAACCATATCTCATTGTATTTTGGTACATGTCCGCAGAGTGAATTTGGTTGCAGAGGGATACCTCTAATTCCCAGGGAGGCTTACGATAAAAGCAGGGACCCTAGTAAGCTGCTTTCCAGTGTACTTTTTCACCCCGATTTTAGCATTCTGAGTGAGCTTGCACTGCATCCACCCCCACTGTGCACATGAAAGGCCAGCAGGCTTCATTGAGCAGCTTTATTATCATGCATTAACCTTAACTTCCTCCTGCGGTAGAAGTGCAATTAAGTTTTAACACTTTTTGCCTTCCCAAGGCTTTGTTGAGCAAAATTTGTTAATCACTCCAAAATATGGTAAGCTGACATTCTCCAAAGACTGCTGCATCTAAATCAGTAACTGCAACTTCAAGAAGCTTTTTACTCCAGCTCTTAAACATGATTCCAAGCTTCACTGTGAATGCTTGTGCTGAACGCACAGAAGGTGGGCACAGGCAGCTAACAGCAGAACTCACCCAAGCAGGATTAGTGAATTCATGTTACTTGTTCTTGTCCCAGCTGATGGAGCATTCAGAAATGTATGTTCATTACGCTTCATATTTCGATAAAACTGATGATGATGTTCTGGAATAAGGATTGTACATAAAAAGGGTGGGATACTTTTTTGTGAAGCTATTGTTTTATCTCAATTGTTTCCCTTCTTTATTCTCCAGATGATGCATACTTACTACAGGGGCTTAATATTGAGGAACTTTATCCAGAGACATCTAGTTTCATTACGTATGATGGGTCAATGACAATTCCACCCTGCTATGAAACAGCAAGCTGGATAATAATGAACAAACCTGTCTACATAACAAGGATGCAGGTAAAAATAATAATAAAAAAAGACTCGATCTAGTATAGGGACAAAAGAATATTTTAAACATATATATTTGTAGTTTTACATATAAAATCAGATTCAACCTTTTGCTGTAGGGATCTCTGCCTGCAATTTACACAGTTTGCAAAAGCATTGAAGAGTTTTTTTCCAAAATAAAAATATTAACTATTTAGAGCTCCCTAAGTATCTATATACACACATATGTACTTTGAGGTGGGCCCTATTTTCAGTGAGGGTTTGAACCAAATGATTTCCAGAGGTCTCTTCCAAACTAAATTATTCTATGATTCTGTGAACAGATATATGGGGATTCTAAAACAAATGTAGCAGTGTTGTACAAAAATAACTGAGGTTATTAAGCATAACAGAGGCCATTCTTCGGTAAGAAACAGACAAATTGTGAGTGACACTTGTGGCCATTTAAATACACATTGACAGCACATTAACGTGACAGAGATCCAATATATGGAGCCTTCTTGAAAAAAATCAGCTAGTGCTTTCTGGTATAGAATAAGATGACAGGACAGACATTGCAAATACCTTCAGAAAAATCAGATTGAAAAACTGAAGCCCCTCTTAGAAAGAAGCAGGATAAATTCTGAAAAACAAACCACAATAAATTTCATAGTCAAAATTATGCTGTTGAGGAAACACACCAGTAGAAAATCCACAAAGACTACATTTCTCTATGACTTGCTTACAATCCAAGGCCTAACATCAGAAAACAACAAATTTAACACCAATTGCAGTCTTCTCCAGAGCTTCTATCAGTGAGTTGCCTACGGAGCTGTGAGCTGAACTAAAACCTAGTCTCTCGCGTACTAGAATCCCGAAGGAATACTTGAACCACCATCTGTCTGTCCTAAACGTGCAGCAGAGCAATCTGGCCTGAGAAATGAAATGAGGAATGATAAAACAACCCTAAATATTACTTTGGGATTTAAAAATCATTTTAACATTGTAAATAAGATGACTTTAAAAAGCCTGAGAGATGTTTTATCTTTGTGATATTCCTTCTGTCCAATTTTGTCTAGATGCAGAGAAAGCACTTTGTTTCTTTTCTAAATGGGTAATTTGGGAGAATGACACAGCTGCGCACAGGCAGACACGCTGTACATTCTCAAATTTTCAAGCAGGAGATCTGAACATTTTCCTACAAGCAACATTTTTAGTTACAACATTAATGTACAAAACAAGGATTAGAATACTTCTGGAGTCTATGCTAGTACCTATGGGTTATAACCTTATGATACTTACTCCTTGTCATGCTTTACTGGTTAGTTACATCCCCCACTATTAGTGCTGCAAATTGATTTCATGGAATACTTACTAATTACATTGTGTACTCAGACTGAAAAAGTAATGCACAAGTCTTCCCTGGAAACTGTTAAAGATTTTCAGTACGTAAAACCCAGCTACTGGATTTCCACATTTAAGCATTAAGTGCCACAACCAAACCTCTTAAATTGTACACTGACATGGAAAATCTTTTCTTTTTACATTTTTAAACCAAAATATTTTGAGGTTTCTGACTTGCAAATTGCAGCTTTTTTTTTTCCTCTCTCTCCAGTTTCCTATACAAAGTTTGAAAGGGTTTGGATAACTTGAACCAGTTAACATGCTTGTAGCACAGTTGCATAGTCATCATAAGAATCATTGCTGTCTACTTGTAGTTTGCATCCAGCCACTGCTGGGCGCACTGAAAATCCTGGATGATTCAGTAGTTCCCTCTCTGTTGATCTGTAAAACCATCTCAAAAGAAGGCCAGAGTCTACCAGAAGAACACTACAGACACAGCACAGACAGTATCAAGACAGACTTGTCAATGGAGAGAGGATTTCACTTGTTAACATCATTAATTTCATTACTTCAGCAGCATGACTCTATTGGTTATCCTTTCCATCCTGACTGGCTATATTTGCTTGAGTACCATCATCCAAAACTGTCTCTTCTCAACTGGAAGCTACATTAATAGCTACAAAACTTAGGAAATTAGCTCTTGTCATTCATCAAGTTCATTTTCTCTGCACCAGCTGCTGCTATCCAGTACTCTGGATTCCATTTGTTCCCTGATCAGCCAAGGACACCTCATACCATTTTCGTTTACTCCACACAAAACTAGTTACTTTCGTTTAAAATGGGGCTCAGAAACAGAGGACCACAGAAGGAACAGTTCTACTTCAAGTTAACTCTTTCAACCCACCTCTGACTACAAATCACTGAAATTCTGTTTAACTTTCATTTATTAAGTAGTCTATTTAATAGTGTTGTATGTTGTTTACTTACAGGAAAGACCAGTACTAAAAATCCTTGTTTTGTATTTTGTATAGATGCATTCTTTACGACTGCTAAGCCAGAATCAGCCATCACAGATATTTCTGAGCATGAGCGACAATTTCAGACCAGTCCAGCCTCTCAACAATCGATGTATCCGAACTAATATCAACTTTAGTTTACAGGGAAAAGATTGTCCAAACAATAGAGCACAGAAACTACAGTATAGAGGTACGTTCTACCTCCAGAATAATCCTTTCTATGCTTCCACTGAGCTCTTTCCTTTGAGAAACCCAAGTGCATAACAAAGCATACAAATAAAAACAGATGAAACTCCAGATCTGGGGGACTAACAGTTTGAGTCAAACATTGCATATTTGAAATGGATGAGGAAACTTGCCCAGAAACATGCAGGAAAAGCATGACAAAAAGACCAGTCTGGCACATCTAGTATTTTTTTTTAAAAGGAGATAGGACAGGCCTTCAGTTTTCTAGCCTCATTTTAAAGTCTTCTCACCTTACAAAGTGCATTTTGCTCTGTTCTACCCACCTTGGAAAGAAAAAGGGGGATAAGCTAGTCTTGATGACAGCTGATCTCAAACAAAAGAATCAATTTCACTTTGGAGGTGCACCACCATAACAAACACCCAAATTGGAAAGTTTTATATTATGCAACGGATATTAAACAAATGAACCAAGCCGGTCTCCTGCTGGTAGAGTCTTACACTGCCACAGCTGGGGGCTCACAACTGAGCTGTAATGTGTCGTATGCATCTTTTAGCCCATGCACACACAGCTATATTACCTGCAATAATGGTGTAAAAGTGCCTTCTTACCAATAATATTATGGTTATGAAGGAGTACTACTGAAGGGTGGAAAAGAAAGCACATTTTCAGCAACCAGGCTGATGACTGAGTTGCAATACTTCAAAGAAACAGTCATTCAGACTTAATTCTTTTCCAGAAAGAGGAGGAAACTGAACCTCCTGGCTTTTTCAAGACATTTTGTTTAAGTGCCTAATACAGTGTTAAAGCCAGCCAGTTTCATATTTGCAGATTATTAAAGCATAATTGTTTTTGTTTTGTTTCTCTTTCCTTTCAGTAAATGAATGGCTCCTCAAGTAAGAAAGACAGAGCAGGCAGAACCCATAACCTCAGTGGAATGCTACTACTGTGAATTGACATAATCTAGAATGCACCCAACCTCACTCTCTTTGGGTTCGTGACAGCACGTGCAAACGTGCTGTAGGAAAAGAGCTGCCATGTTGGAAACTCAACTAAAAATTCATTCATATGATTGGTGGTAATTAAAAAAAAGTAAAAGACAGCATTACAGTAAATGTGATTACAATTTTGATACAGTTTTCCTGAACTAATTTAGCTTCACAAAGAAAGACTTTTCAGCCTTTGTACATATGAAATTCTTCCTCTTTCCCCCTCTCCCTCAAATTAAAAAAAAAAAAAAAAAAAAAAAAGAAAGAAAAAAAGGTGGCTCGGTACAGCATCAAAGTGGAGTTGTGTTCTGTGTGCCAAGTAATCCTTGGAAAGCTCTCATTATTTCACTCTCATTAAAGGATACTGACAAGACAGAACAAGACGACTGTAGAGGAAACTTATTTCTAGGTTATGATCTTTCTGTTCATTTAATTAAAAAAGGGACAGACTTTGAGAGATAAGTATTGTAAATATATCACTGCAGAATATAAAGGAAATTGAAATATTTCCCTCTTTGTCACATATCTGTAGTAGGATTTGCCAAAATCAGAATTGATCCATTTTCTGTTTCTTGTTTTACAACAAGTCATACGTTGTGTTGGTTACTATTAACAACTCAATAAATGTGTTTAACAAATTAATTTAGAAAACTTGCTTTGATTTATTTTTTCCTTTCTGAAATAATATGCCTCTACTACTTATGGCTGCATTAATTGTTGCTTTTCTTTTTTTTCCTTTTCCCCTTTTTTTTTTTTCTTTACTTCATTTATTTGTTTGCAGCCAACTGAAGTGAGTTAATGGCAATTGGGAATGCACTTAAAGCTAGTATAACTTTAACTCCACTTTATGGTCCATCGTTAAAAGAAGCTGGGCTCAGAAGCAAAAAGCAGTTGAAACATATCTCAGTTTAAAATTGCCATTTTCCCTGCTGAATCCATTATTGGGACAAATTCAGTCCTGTAAATTGCTGGTGGAAAGGGATATATTTTCTTTACAGATCAAGCAAGAGCTGACCAAGTAAAAGCGAATGCCTTTTTTCTTGTTTATAATGGTCATTCACTGTGTTTGGTTACTGTCAAGAACTCAAATAAATGTGTTTAACAAGTTCACATAGCGCATGTTTGACCTTCTTGCACGTTAAGGGATTATTGGTTTTGTTTTTTTTTTTTTAATCTGGAGAGGGGGCAGACCTATGCTATTCTGCTCCTAATGCTCACTTTACAACCCATAACATGCTGAAGTTCACAGAAAATAAGATGCAGCTAGAGAGTACCATTTGACCAATGAATTGTTTACACCAAATGGAAAAGTAGGCACTACAAAGTGTGAGGGAACTGAACCACTGTAAAGAAGTTCTAGGTGCTGCAGGCCAACTAGCTTTAACCTGACAAACACATTATTTCATCCTTGGCTGAAGAGAACAGTGCAGGTACCATCAGACAGGCAACTCTTGAGTCTATGTTGCAGACAGCGGTTTGGAAAGATTGCAACTTGGGTGGCTTCATCTGTGACATGAAAGGGAAAGTTACCAGGAAAGTGAAAACAGGCATGGACCGGCATTCAGGGGATTCTCAAAGTAGGTACACGGATGTAGATGGAAACCTGTAAGGAACCCGAAGTTGTCAACAATTGAATTAAGAGCAGAGGTTGGCCTAGATGGGCTGGGACACAGGGATGCCGTATTTGTAGCAGGGTTCTGGGCTGATGGCCCTGGCCAAGGATCCTATTAGCACGTATAGAGTACCTGATCCTTAAGTTATTTCATTTTGAGCATTTCAAATGACTTCCATGTACCAGCTTAACGCTGTGCAGTGATCTGAACAATCCACAACACAACCACAGAAATGTCACACAGTGACTATTGCACTGTAGATTAATATTGTCAAACTCTGCAGCTAAAATAAAGCTAAATTCTCACCTTAGATTTACCTAGCTAATAAAAAATGAAAAACAACACGAGTCACACACATTTAGTATTTTTGAGATGCTACAGTGATCTATAACTTTGAAACTTGTGGTGTTGGGATTGTTTCCCCTACTTATTTGGGTGATTTGGGTTTTTTGAAGCTTCTCCTAGGATTGTTAAGGTTGCAGAGTAAAGTTACTGAGAGCACAAAGTCCACAACGCTTCGATCTATATTTCTGGACAAATATCTGGCAGTTGTTGATCCAAGTTTGTCAGTGACAGAAGGTAGGGAAGATAAGCCAGGTCTCCATTATAAAGCTTTTAATAAGTAATAAAACCTATTTTCTATTTTACTGAAAGATGACTGAAGGGATTTAAGAGGAGGGAGAGATACGATAGAAGGGACTAGTCCGAGGAAGGAGTCACGCTGTGCTTTGGATTAGGTGAGGCTGCAATATAGAAGCCCTGCAAATAGAGAAATGGAGCAATCATACTGGGACACCGCAAATATATTTGTCAACATTTCCAACTCAATTTTGTGAACTAATGAACTCCATCTTGTCATGATTTGTTTAGGTTTTTGTTTTAATAAAAGATTGCAGTAGAAATAGACCAAACCAAAGCTTGGAATTAAATATCTTGCACATTCCTCACATTTCAGTAGTGCTGAAATCTAGACATCTTAGCTCCAGTTTTTCAGATCAGGCATATATCTCTGTGTCAAGAGACACTGAGCATCCAAAGAAAGCCACACCTTATCACAAAGCCTTTAAGCAAAAAGATAAAGTTTCAGTATCAAAGAGCTGGCACAGAGACAATCTTCCATGTTCAGAGTCTACCCCACACGGCAGCATGTGCACATAGTAATCCCTCCAACTTGAGTGCTTTCTGTCCACAATGCTCATGAGAAGTCTGGCTGCACACAGAGCTCAGTACTTTGTAGTAAGAGCTGAATTTGTGGCCTCGATACCATCCCTGCCCGAGCCATGCAGATTATGAGTGAGATTCTTTGCTTGTGATAAGGCTTAGTTCAGGCGTGAGCTACCTGGCAGGGAATATAAGCCTGGCAGCGGTCCTCAGTGACCAATCAACACCACAGGCAGGACCAGGTTGCCATGCCATGATGATAACAGACATTAAAAACTTCATACTGGGAGGAAATGCTCAGATTTGATCTTCTGCTATCACGGTTAAGAATGTGATATCAAACCAGGTACCAAACTTATCAAGCTCATTTGATGATAAAAAGAATGAGAAAATTCAAATTTGCAGTACTGCACAAGCCTCCATTTCAAGTAGTATTCAAAAGTGCAGTAGCCAAAGTTTATAAGCTCTGTTTTTTTCTTTAATTTAATCAAAAGGAAAGATTATTTCTATACGGAAAATAAGAACTAAATAGGATCTGTGGGATGAAGGCAGAAAGCAAAGACCTTCAGCATAATTGTACCTATAGATACCACACATTTCTGTCCTTCCACCATTCTATTCCAGCCTTGAAAGCTGAACCAGCAAGCAAACACCTCAAGGATCTGCCTAGAAGCTCGGATATTTTATTATAAAACAAACTCCTATGAAACAGAAAACATCCTTTCTCACCATTTAAAACCTCTCACTTTCTTATAAAGTATATACTCTGAAAGAAGAGGGGGCAAGGGAAACGGTGCTGAAAAACTGAGACCTGAAATTGAGGCACTGGCAGCATCCAGCAAGGCTGGAACAATTACACCTAAAGGTGTGCAAGGCTGTACTCCCCCAGCGCTGAGCCAGAAACTCAAAGTCAGACAAGCAACTCAATCAAAAAGGCAGGTTGGCAAGCAAAGATCAGAAGAACTCAAAAGTCACCCGAATTCATGTTTTTATGAATAGCCCTGCTTGCTCTGAGCATCCATACGCTGTTCCACATCTTGGTCTTAAGAAATGTCAACAACAACTGCTGCTCATATGACATTAGTTCGTCGGGCACCCAAAACATGGGGCCGGGTGGAAACGGGCTGTCAGCAGCCAACATCATTTTAAGTACTATGCATCCAACATAGGACTTTTCAAAACATTTGTTATAAAACGAAGCAAAAAACCCTTAGGATAATACTTCAGAATCCTTCCTGCTTCTGACAGACCCTGCCTTTACTCTCCGTATTTTGGTTTTCTGGGGATTTCACACCTTGCTACTTAAACACTAGCCTTCCCCTTCAAAATTATAAGCAGCTTTGAGCAATGCAATAACGGCTTACCCTACAGAAACACAATACTGCCATAAAAAGAGTTGGCAAGTCTCTTGATATTAACTGTTGCTGGAATAAACATATTTCAGCTACCATTAAAATATTTAAAATAATAATACGAAAAGAGCTGTTGAATCTCTTAAGTGGTGAAGACAATCTGGGAAGCAGGATATGATTGCACCTAAAAGGCCAAGAGCAGAAAGCACATAAACCCCCTCCAACATTTAAGGTATTCCTTGTGATCTTTAATATTAAGGAGGAGAAAACTGTAACTGACCAGTATATTTTATTGCAAATACCAGAAATGCAGCAAAAAGGCAGAGGTTTTGCATGTTCTGCTGTACATCTCAAAGCTTTAGAACTCAACAGTACCCAAAAAAACCTAGATGTTTGGTTCCTATACTCAAAACAGTATAAATTTTTCAGAGAGATCAGCCATAACTGCTCCATGTTTTGATTTTTTTTTTCTATTAGATTTTATTCCCTAGATGTAATGGCTGACAAAGCATAGAGAGTTTGCTGTAAGAAATGCTGATTTACTAGCAAATGGCTTACCGCAGTTCTCAACAGCATACCGTAAAATTGTTCAAGGAGCCTGTTTGCACGGTAAAGAATAAGAACCATTTATAACATGAAACATAATGCAGGCAAACATTTTCTGTTTCCTACAGTGTCAGGCTTCTGTTCTAATAACTAAAGATGTGTCAAACATATACTCAGAGCAGAAAATGAAAAACAGGATAATAAATCTTCTAAGGATAGGAAAATAACCCTTAGTATTTAAATAGAGCAAAAAAATCCTCAGAAGAAGTATTAGAAAAATAGAAAGAAAAAAACTGACACAGTTTATGAATTTAGGCAGATGCTCCCACCCTGTAAGGGAAGAAAGAGCTAGAGTCAAAAGTAAATCCAAGTGGAACAAAGTTAAAGCTGCAAAATGCTATAGTCGTCCCAGAAGGAAGGTTAAGGCTATGAACTTCAGCCTTGGGTGGCACAAGGAGACAGTCAACACCTAGCAAAGAGATCTCATTTTCTGAGACATTCGGG